CCCCTCTGCTCCCCGCCCCGCCCCGGGCCGCGCGCCTGGCGCCGGGGACCAGCGCGCTCCGGGCTGCGGCGCGGCGGGATGGAGGAGCAGCCGGCGCGGGAGGCCGACGGCCGTGAGTCCCCGCGCGCTGCCGGGCCGGGAGCCGGGGGCTGGGGGTCGGGCGGAGGCCGAGAGGACGCGCGCATCCGCACGGGGGCGGCCAAGGATGAGGTTGGCGCGGTCCGCGTGGCCACCTGGGTCTTGGGCTCCTCCGTGGCTCCGAGCGGAGCGCGCACGGCGCCGAGGGGACATTGGCCGCGCATCTGGGACTCGGGGTCGCCGCCCGCCTGGCGAGCGGGGAGCCGCGGCTGGGGAGACATTAACTACAGATAATAAAGGTACTAGCGACCCTTCGTTGAGTACTGTACGCATCCCACTCACAGGCGGGATGAGGCCTTGAGGCAGGACCCGCACGTCATCTGGTCTTCACTGCAGCCATACGGGTAAACCTGTTATTTCCATTTTGCAGATGAGAAAGCTGAGGCATGGGGTGGTTAAGTGAGTTGTACAAGGTCACACAGCCATTAAGTGGTAGGATGCTGAAGGCCCCTGCTCCCCCAGAATGTTGGGGCTGGGTAGGGAGTGGAGAGCGTGTCAGATGGGGACGCGAACCCGCAGGAGGGGAGGGTGCTGTGGGCGGCTGCGTGTGGGATGAGGGCACCTCAGAGCCTCTCAAGGAGTGTGCCAGGGCCAGGGCCTCTAGGCCAGGCCGCTGCATGTGTGTGGGCCTCGGCTGGCCTGGGGGAGCTTTGGCCGCACTGCCTGGGAGTGGGGAGGGAGGATCGTCCCCACTGTGTGTCCTCAATTCTGCAGCCCTGGCTGAGCCCTGACAGCTGAAGCCAGGGGCTCTCCCCGAATCCCCATGGTGCAGCTCACCGGGCTCCTGTGAGACCTACAGCGTCCAAAATGCTGAAGTGAACTGTCTACTCAGCTGAGGGGCGGTGTTGGGGATGGAGGGCTGGATCAGGTGCTAATTGTGTCAAAGGGAGGACGTGGTTCTGCCTGGGGCAGAGATCACTTGCGTGGGCCTGCAAAGCGTGTAACAACGCAGCCTTGGGACGTGTGGAGGGGAATTCCGGGCAGAGGACACAGCCTGGGCCAAAGCTCAGCAGCCGGAGAGTGCAGTGGGTACCGGATGTGGCCAGAAAGAGGGTGCATGGGGGAGGTGAACGAAGAGATGAGACTGGACTCGGTTTCGTGCTCACTTGACCTTGTCTGGGTGGGCTCTGTGCAGTGTCTGCTGGCTCTCCACTGAGACTCTTGGCTGTCTCAACAGAAACACAAACCGGGCCATTCCCAGTGAGCTTCGGCTAAGGTAGAGGGTGCCAGAGCCCGAAGGGACTCGTCCAGAGCCTTTTCTTCACCCTCCCCCAGTTTTACAACTGAAGAAACTGAGACTCTGCACCACGGGGGTATGAGTAGCCTAGGATCCCCTTACTGGAAAGCGGCAGAGCAGGTACTAGAACCCACGCCTCCGCAAGCTCACACCTGAAGCCACAGCTCTTTCCAAACCTGGATCATGAGGTTAAGAAAAGAAAAGCTCGAGACACAGTGCTCACCTGAGATGCTTTGGTTCTGAGAGGGGCTCTTCTAAAGCCTGTTATGTTATCTTGAGAAGGGCCCCTTTTCACCTGCACAGTAGGCAGACCCCTTTGGGACAGCGTAAGGGTGGAGTCATCGATGGGGACCACACTCAGAAGGCGGTCTTTCTCCCGAGCACCCTCCTCCTCTGAAGTATTGATGTGAAGCTGCCTATCCCTTGGAGCCTCTTTCCTGCCATTGACCTGAGCTTATATTCTGGTTTTCTAGGGGACTAATGAATCTTAACTGGGGTAGCATCTCATAGTTCACGGCCTCTGAAGAGATCTAATGAGTCGAGCATCACTCATGCATTCAACAAGTATGTGCCATGGCCCGAATTTGGGTATATAGTAGTTAACGAATCAGACAAAAATCCCCCACCCCATGGGCTTATATTGGAATGTGATAAGCAGACAATAAACCTAATAAATATGTAAATATAGCATATGCCATAGCATATGGAGAAAAACAATGCAGGGAGGTGGGAAGGGAATATGTTTCCCATGGTTGGGGCTTCACTGGCTCAGGGGTCCCTAAATGAACGAGGTCCCACAACCTCCAGGTTTGTGGCCTCCAGAATTTATTTTCTGACACTTTGCCTTGGAGGAATAATAGTGATGATGATAGTGGTGGTGGCAGGCACAGACACTGTGCTAGGGGCTTTTCATGTCTTTTTCTTATAATTATGACACTGCAGGGCAGCTCACATCACCATTTTGTAGATGAGGAAACCGAGACACTGGGTAATCGAGTAATCTAAGTGACACAGCCAGGAAGTAGTTCAGCCAGAGTTGCAGCCAGGGCCATGTGATTGCCCGAGGGCAGCAGATGTGAGGTCCACAGGTTGTATCCATGAGGTCCTAGAAAGCCTAACACCCTCTACCCCATCTGGAAAGCTGTGTGGAAACTATCTAGCAAAACAAACGGCATGGCAGGCTGTCGGTTACCAAGGTGCATCCTAGCCTTCCCTGCCAAGACCCTGGTTACCTGTCCGTGGATATACAAAGGGGCTGGGTCTAGACATTCACACTGGACCAAACATGCAGGATGTGGGTTTGGCATCTATAAAACTGCAAGATTACTTGCCCTACTGTGCGAAGGGCCAGGAAATATTCGTCCTCTGTGCTAGTATGTCTGAGCCCTTCTGGAGGAGGGACAGGTATCCGTTAGTCTGGGGGTTATTAGTGTCACTCATAGAAACAGAGGTTTGTGGATTCCTCCCTGTGCCCAGCTTTGGGCCTGCTGTCATCCGTGGTTGATCAGAGAGGGTCAGGTGTGGCCAGTGCCCCCAAGGAGCTTATGGTCTAGCCAAGGAGACCAGACATGCGCACAGTCAAGAGCAGTCAGGATGATGGCAGCAGGGGCGTCTGGTGGGATGAGCTTTAGAGCATGTCACCAGTCCTGGGTCCTCCTGGCTCAGACACTCACCTACGGAAAAACACTGAGCCCACAGCTGCCTGTGACGGGGGTTGGCAGGGGGAGCTCCGAGGTTCTCTTTAGTCTGACACTCTCTGAGATAAAGGTGCAGTGATGGGGGCGAGAGGAGCACAGAGAAGGCAAGTCGGGGCGGGCCTCAGAGTGGGGAGGTAAACGGCTTGGGATGCAGGGATGAAGGAGAAGAGGTGGGGGAACGAGGAAACGGAAGGTGCACAAGTGGGGCTATCGTGCCTCCGGCCTTGCCCGGCGCTGGCACACGGTAGGTGGCTCAGTAAATCCTGCTGTCTTCTACCGTCAGAGCTGTGGAGAAGGTAGTTGCTGACTCCACCGGGACACGAAAACTGGACGATGGGCACCCCGAGGGGCATGAGGCGCACACAGCTGGGCTGCTGTGGATGGTCTTGCCCACACTCTCCCATTCTTGGGGTTTCGCCACATCCTGGCCGTGTGGACGTGGGGTGAGTTGGTAAGGAAGAGCAGCCGGTCTGGGGAGGCCCCTGACCTTGAGAGGGGGCAGAGCCATCCCCCTTTCCCCCCATCCCTAGGTGGAAGACCTCCTCCCAGGGAGATGTTCAGGGGCAGAGAAGGGCTGTTCACCTCTCCCCTCTGCAGTGCCCTCGTGACACAGTGTGGGGCACCCTCACCCACATCCCGTACCCCCTTTCCTCCCCCAGTGCTTCCTCTGGAGAGGCAGCTCCAGGAGGCCGCCCGCCGGAACGACATGGGGAGGATGCAGGAGCTGATCGGGAGGAGGGTTAACGTCAGGGCCAGAAACCACGTGCGTAATGGGCTCCTCCAAATCTGGGGCACCTGGGATAGTGCCATGGTAATGCCACCACACAGAGGGGACACTGCCTTGGGCTGGAGACGGACACACTGGCATGTATGAACTTGGAGGGAGGCTCAGCCTCTGTCCTCTGTGTCTGTGTTGTCCGAGGGCTTTTAGGCTTAGAGTGGTTGGGGCCTCGCCAACCCCAATCAGGGTCAGGATTCCAAGCCAGGCTTGGGCAATTCTAGAGGTCAAACTCTTAACCTCTGTGACCCATCTGAAAGGTACACCCAAGGAACAAAGGTGAGAGCCAGGAGGGCAGGGGTCAAAGGTCGTCAGCCAGAGGCTGGCAGTTGGGCAGATGAGGAGGACAGACACTAAGCAGAGCTTGTCACAAGTGGTTCATTTCCCTTGTGATAAGTTGTCCTAAGAGCTGTGGAGGGGAATGAGGGGGGTTTGAGGAAGTGGCATTTTCGAGGAGCAGGGGAAGAAGGGTGGTGGTCCAGGCAGAGGGAAGAGCATGGGCAGTAGCCCTGAGGAAGGAAGGAACAGCTGGTCTCCAGAGAGGGGAGGTGGCTTGCCTAGGAGCACACAGCAAATTAGTGTTTCTTTCATCGTCCCGTCATCAGCTGAAAAGTATGAAGGGAAGAAGTGGGCCCGTGGGTCAGAGGCTGGCTTCCCCCAGGCCCAGTCAGGCCCCTTCGCCTGCTCTGAGAGAACCCAGGCTCGCAGGTGCCCCTCAGGGACTTGGAGAGTAATCTCAGGCCACCTGTTGCTGCCCAGTAGGGGACAGCAGGAACAAAGGCCTGGAGGTGGCAAGCTGCTTGGCCTTTCCGAGAAGCAGTGGTGGGCAGTGCCAGGCCATGCAGAGCCTTGTAGGCCCCGAGTTAGGAGTTTGTCCCAAGAACCGTGGGAAGCCATGAAAGAGTTTGAGGCGGGGGACAGATGGAGCCAGTCACTCTGTTTTACTGCATTTGTTTCAGAGTTTGTGTTGGGGAGGAGCAGGGGGCCAGAGTGGAGCTGGGTCCCCATACAGCTGGTCACCAGAGCTGGCAAAGGCTCTTCCAGCCTGCAAACCAGCTGTCCTGGCAGGGAGGGGGTGGGAGGTGGGCCAGGCAGCCAGGGGGAGCAGCGCTTGACAGGTGTCCTCTCTGTCCTGGCAGGTGGGCAGGGTGGCCCTGCACTGGGCCGCAGGCGCGGGGCACGAGCAGGCCGTGCGGCTGCTCCTGGAGCACGAGGCTGCTGTGGATGAGGAGGATGTGGTACGTGGCCCCTCGCTGAGGCGCGTCTGTGCGCCGGGTCTGTCTGTCTGTCTCAGGGGCAGGGAGCGGCATTAGATCTCTGGTTCTGTGAGCCGGTGGCTGAGATTGCTGCTAGCGTGCAGCCACTCAGGTGCGGCGTGCACAGGGAGTCACAGTCTTCAGGGCCGGGGACGCGGCACTGATTCCATCTTCCTCGTGTACTGTGATAAAGAGCTCTCCACTTCCAAGGGCTTTTCGGCTCTCAGAGAGCCTTTTCGGTCTGTCCTGATACCATGTGAGCAGGGAGAGCTATGGGCTGTAGGACAGGTAATTGGGTGGATTGATGAAGTCCTGATCGCAAAGTCACCAGGAGGACAGTCTCTCGAGAAGTGCTGCAGGGCTCTGCCCTGGCTAACGCTTTAACCAAAGACTTAGACAAAGACTGACAGTCTTACTTAAATTGGCAGGCAGCACAGTGCTGAGAGAGCGCCGAAGAATCTGCATCTCTATGGGTTTGGGAAAAGGGATGACTCTGACAATGCCATTTGAGAGGGAGATACACTTAAGGACCGAGATTTAAATTTAAAAAAATAACTATAAATTTTTCTGCAGAGACTTAGTTGTCCATGGAAACAGTTTGCTTTGTTCTGGCTTCTCTCTGCTCCCGGGTGCCCCCCCCCCCACACCCCAAATTGTTGCCAGTTGGGGATGGGGTGGGGCAGCAGCTCCTCCCTCCCCACTCCCCTCCCCCTTCTCCCTGGGCTGGCTTAGGCCCTATTTAGAGGTGGCTCTAGGAGAATGTCTAGGTCTTTAGTCTGAGCTTCCTAGTGAAACACTGGAGCCTCTTGCATCAAATCTTTGCCTACAAAGACCCCCTGTTATTTCAGGGGCTGAGTGAGAAAAGAAGCCATGAGGGAGAACAGTAAAGAGAGTCCTTCTGTAAATTCTCTCTGTTTCTTTTGCAAGCAACAATAAATACATGTTGAAGAGTAAGACAGTCTGGTGGGCACGCCTACTTTAGTAACAGGAGGGCAGGGGACACTGGAGAGGGGAAATCCTGTTGTCGGAGGAAGGTCGCTAGTGATATGCCACAGGGCTCTGGCCTGGACAGTTCCTAGGAACTATGTATGGGGGAAAAAGCTGCTTAGGAGTGTGAAGTATCCCTGGGGTCCCACCATCAGGAGTCTCTGGCTCCCACGGCTCTCCCTCCCCCGGTCCTGAGCCTTCACCCTTGCGATTCCCACGCTCCTGTGGCCTTCTGCTTATGGTCACTGCTGTGCCCATTTATTTCCTCCCTCCTCCAGCCAGCCCAGTTACTGATATGCTACTGGGTGCTGAGCTCTGTCCAGTGCCGGGTCTCCTGGCCCCTTTGGCTCTAGCCAAGGCCAGCTCCACACTCCATTTGAGGCTCCATTCTGAGCCTAACGCCTTGCCCAAGGTTTCAGGAGGAAAGAAATCTGAAATTCTTGTGGTCGCTGCTGGCTCTTACTTCCAGCTTCAGCTCAACGTTTGCTGTCGTCTTGAAATGTTGCAAATAGTCCTTTGTCTCCACCCTGGTGTCACCCCAGACATGGTACTTTTCCCTGGTTTCCAGGGACTCCATTCATACAAGGCTCGTGGTGTGGGATGGCTTTCCAAAATGAGAGGTGCAGGGGACTTACATCACACATAAAAACAGCGTGAAAATCATAAAATCTTCTCTTTGACTTTCTGATCTTTAAAGTCCCTTGGCCCTTTCCTTGTCTTGTCCCCGGCCTCTGCTTTCCCTTTTCTCTCCAGTGCTGTCCTTGCCTGCACCACCCCCTCCCTACCTCCAAATTCCTGCCAGTTGCTAAAGCAGAGAGTGAAACTCTCTGGGTGCTCAGAGCCTGCTGCTCAGTCCGTTCCCTCTGCGTTTCACCTTTCACCCCAAACACTCAGTTCCCTCCCTGAGGGGAATTCTGGTGCCAGCCACCAAGACCCCTTTGCCTCGTACCCCTCATGAAGGAGGAATAGCCAAAAACCATCCCCAGGAAGGTGTCTGGCTCTCGGATGTGTCCCGGGAGGCGTGTTTGGAGGCCTGGGGGTGCTCTTCACACGGAAGAAAAGACTCAAAAGAGGCGGGGGCAGGGGCTGCCCACATGCAGCACCCCACCAGGCCGAGGTCAGTGAAGGGGCTCTGGTGACTCAGAGCACTGCGCAGGTGTCAAAAAAGAGCGCCCTGCAAACGGGTGCAGGGCTGCCATCAGAAGAGACACTAGACATATTGTCAGTTGCTCCAGCGGACTGGTGGCATGGAAATTGCAGGGGTGCAGATTTCAGTAGGGCATAAGGAGGGGTTTCTAACGTTTGACTGTGCAGGGATGGCTTGTGAGGCGGTGAGGTGCTGTAGACTTAAGCCATCTGCTTTGAAGATGTTCTGTGAGAGATTTAAACAGTCTATTCTCAAACGCCGGTCCAGGGTGAGGTCTTCGCCAGTGATGACAGATCAGAAAACAAGGACAAGGCCGGGCAACGTGGCTCACGCCTTTAATCCTAGCACTCTGGGAGGCCGAGGTGGGATGATCACTTGAGGCCCGGAGCTCGAGACCAGCCTGAGCCAGAACGAGACCCCATCTCTACAAAAAATAGAAAAATTAGCCGGGCGTAGTGGCGTGAGCCTGTAGTCCCAGCTACTCAGGAGGCTGAGGCAGGAGAATCACTTGAGCCCAGGAGTTTGAGGTTGCTGTGAGCTGTGATAACACCACTGCACTTTAGCTGGGGTGACAGAATGAGACCCTTTCTCAAAAAAAAAAAAAAAAAAAAAAGGAAAAGAAAACAAGGAAGGACAATGTAGTGTGTTTTCATGAGCTGTATTTGTAAAGAATATATTCTGAGATTGGTTCCTTCCAAATTTTTTTTTGTTTTAAAGTGGCCTTTTTTTATGAAATGATGATGAGAGTAAATGGCAGCTGTCTTGTTTTAAAATTTCATTTAGCCAAAACAAAAAAAAAGTTTGCTATAGTATATCAACCTCTGTTAAAAAAAAATTCCTGATCTTTAAATTCCTAAAGCTTGGCGCTCCCTGGACTGAGTGGCACTTATGGTCCCTTACCGTCCTGTGGTTTCGCCATGCAGACACAGGGCCCAGGTGGCACGGCCACACCTCCTCACATTCTCCTCGCCCCCTTCCGTGTCCTCTCCCCTAGTTTGGGATGAACGCGCTTCTCCTGTCTGCCTGGTTCGGCCACTTGCGGATCCTCCAGATCCTGGTCAACTCGGGGGCCAAGACCCACTGTGAGAACAAGGTAAGGCCTCAGGGGAGGGCAGGCCCCCTGCCCGCTGCCCGTGTGCTCCCTCTGCCCCTGCCCCCACTTGTCCCCTGTGGTCTCCCCACCCCATCTCTGCCTGTCCCTCTTTCTTTTTCTTCTGATCACTTACTACATAGCTATGTAGGGACAGTCCCCAGCCCTCTGGCCAGCCTCTTTATTTACAAGAGAGGAATCAAAGTGACTCCCCTAGAGGGTAGTTGGGAAGATTAAATGAGAGGGAGGTAGGGCCTCCTTCACCTTCATACTGGGCCCTGCCTCCCTTGTGGTCCCTGGGGTGGGGTGGAAGGACCACAGCACCATTTACCAACCCTGGGACCTTGGACGAGTTACTTTATCACCCTGAGCCTCAGTTTTCCCATTTGGAAATGGGGATGCTGGTACCCACCTTGGAGCTGCGGCGGGGCAAGGGCAGTGCTGTGCGTAAAGTGCCTGGCTCGGTGCCTGGCACACTAGGGGACCTGGCCTCCCTTGGTGCTCACTGGCGTGGGCTGTGGTTTGAGGGAGGAGGGTCCTGGCATGTCAGGGTGCCTGGAATCCCTCCGCCAGTGTCTCACCTTTTAGGGTGTCAGTGGCCCTTAGGAAAATGCAACCATTTCTGGACCAGATGCCTTCAGCTAGGAGTTCTCACCAGGGTTCTCGGAGAAAATTTAGGGCACCTATAAACTTGGATCAGAAAAAAGTGCATATTTATTTTCAGTAACTTCTTGAAAATTTAGCATTTCTTTCAATGATGATGAATGTAGGTGGCATTAGTACCTGTAACTTTATCACTGATAGAAAATGTAGCTATTTTTATATCACATTAAAGTCTTTGCAGTTATCTTAAAATACTCCTTACATTCATACTTTCAAATAATGGCAGTTAGTAGACCTTTTACAAGATCTTTTTGTTTAATGGATCAGTAAGGAAGTACATATGTTACTAGATCGAAAACCTGGTTTTTAATATTTTGATAACTCTATTTCAATATAATTGGTTTCCTCTTACGGTAGGCAGAATAATGGCCCCACTAAAGACGTCCATAGCCTAATCCCTGGAACCGAAAGGAATTTGGCAGATAGGATTAAGTTAAAGACCTCGAGGTGGGGACATTATTCTGGATTATTCACAAAGGCCCAGTGTAACCACAGAGGTCCTTTTAGGGGAAAAAGGGAGGCAGGAGGGACAGAGACAAGGTGTGACAAAGTCAGCAGAGGTTGGAGCAATGCGGGCCATGAGCCTCTAGAAGCTGGAAAAGGCCAATAAACGGATTTGCTCCTAGAGCTCCCAGGAGAGATGCAGCCCTACCTACCCACTTTAGACTTCTGACCTCCAGTACTGTAAGAGAGGAAACCGCTGCTGTTTTAAGTAAGTTTATGGTAACCTGCTATAGCAGCAGTAGGAAGCTAATGCACCATTGTAAGCCTATGTATTTGATTAAAATTTTTTTCCTATATAATCTGTTTTTGTATTTAAGTAAACATTATTTTGAGAAGGGGTCCACAGGCTTCACTAGATGTCAAAAAGGGCAGCGTCACATAAGAAGTCTGCCTCGTGTCATTGTTAGGATCGTGCTGGCCGTGGTGACAATGCCCGACAGCTCCCAGAGAAGGGATGTAAACAAGATATAAAACCTTGTTCTGTTGATTTTTATGACCCACTGATGGGTTGCAATCTGCTACTTAACACAGTGCTTCACGTAACCTGACCTTAGTGCAGGGCAGCGGCGCATACTCTGAGTCATAAACAGGCTTTGCAAGCGTCCCTCCTTTGATTATTGCCTCTGGGCTCAGGAGAGCTGCTTCCTGTCTACCCTGCATCCCCAACCCTGGCCACCTCCCTCTAGTCCCTGCAGACCACGTCTACCCTCAGTCCTCCCTGGAAGGTTAGGAGGTCACCTCCTAGTGACGTGCACTGGGCACTTAGTCACCTGCTTCTTCATTAGCAGCTGTATTAAGGGAGGCAGATGGATGCCCAGAACCTCCTTAACTGTTCTGTGGTGATGTTCTGGGGACTGCTAGTGCTATACGACCTCACCTTACACGTGTGAATCATTTTTCAGTTTATAAAACACTCTTCCTGTAGGTCCTCTCCATCACCAACTGAGGTGGTCAGGCATTATTATCTCATTTGTGACATATGTGAAAATGGAGGCTCGGAGAGGTGGGGGTAACTGGCCCAAGACCACAAGCTGATGAGTGCCGGAGCTGGGATTTGAACTCTGGCGTCCCCACTCCCACCAGCCCCTCTAGGGCTGAGTGTGCCCCCGAGAGGGTTATCCCAGGGGCCCATTCGTCATTTACAGTGTCGTTTTCACGGGGAAGCTGTGCTCTGGCCCAGACACTCGCCGTCTGGGAGACTGCGGTGTGGGAGGAGGGCTTCCCTTCGCAGACTGCAGGGACCACCCTGGGCTTGCTTCCAGGACGGCCTGACCTTACTGCACTGCGCAGCCCAAAGAGGCCACGTGTCAGTGCTGGTGTTCATAATGGAGGACCTGGAGGATATGGCCCTGGACCACGCAGACAAGGTAAGAGCGCCTCCGGCCTACTTGTCTTTCCCACTGGGCTGGGGGCTCCTGGGGCCACTCTTGCCCACTGGGTTACCGCCCTCCTTGAGCTCATCCTTTGCTCTGTGGGCAGAAGAGGTATTGGGCTACAGACGAGCAGAATGTGAGCAGAGCATGGTCCATGGCCTCAGAGAGGCCCTTAGACAGGTTAGAGAAGAGAGCCACTGCTTTGCTTCCTGGAGGAGGTGGCATTTGGTGAATTAACTAGATTCATGGGTAAGATTGGAAATCAGGGGTGTGAGACCAAATGGAGGCGAGAGCCTTGCTAGAGCTTTGGAGGTGGGAAAGGGATCTAGTGTGGGTTCTGGTGGACTGGAATCTTGGGCGGGAAGGCCTGAGAGTGCTGGGGGCCCCTCTGGAGATCTTGACCCCCAGCCTCAGGAATCTGTTCCTCATCCATTAGGCAGCAGGGAGGATTTCAGCAGGGAGGGACCTTCACCAAGTGGCTCTTGTTAAGAAGTTGGGTCTGGGTTTTCCAGGCAGGGTGTGTGGGGCGGGGGAAGGAAAGAAGAGAACGTCTGGGGCAGGAGAGGCCCCTGCAATGCCAGGGTGGTTGGGGAAACAGAGGCAGGCGCACAGGGTGAACGTGCCCCCTGGCTGGGCAAGGAAGGGTCACGCTCCTTCTCTTCTCGGCCAGTTGGGAAGGACGGCATTTCACAGGGCAGCTGAGCACGGGCAGCTGGACGCTCTGGACTTCCTCGTGGGCTCTGGCTGTGACCACAGCGTCAAAGACAAGGTACTGTGACCCTGAGGCTCTGGGCTCCCGACCAGGGTGCAGAAGCCCCTGCCACCTGCCAGGCTCTGGCTGCTCCTCACGTGTGCCTACTTCTGACTCTGCTGTGCCGGAGGGGCTGGGGGCCCAAAGACCAGAGTGTGCCTTATGTTTATCCAGCAGGCATTTTACCAGCACGTGCTATGGGCCAGCCCTGTGCTACAGGTTGGTGGCATAAAGATGCCCAGGACACAGTTTCTCACTCAAGGAACTCAGCACCACAATCGTAGTCGAGAGCTGTGATCTGAAGTGGTGATGATCAAGTCAAGAGCTATGATCCGGGATGGCAGATCGGGGTGGTTGGCAGCACTGCCTGGTGTGGGTTGGGCAGCACTGGGATCCACTGGGGTGGTCTGTTGCCAGGGATGGTGGCCACACCCCCGCTGGTTATTCGCCTTCCCTGTGATTCATGCCCTACTGTGGTTATGGCAATAGTAGGATGGGAGCACCGAGGAGGGATTAGGTCTTTTGGGGTGGAGAGTTTGTTAGCAGGATTTTGTCAATTTGAGAAGGGGTGAGGGATGGGGACCAGAAGGAGCTACGCTGCAAATGACTCTTACCAGTGGACTATTGTGAATCATCAGACAACATATGTTGCAGCAAATTCTACATGATGCTTCCAACAAAGGGATGAACTCCATTGTTAACCTTCTGATGAATGTGCCTGGCCAGGTAAGGGAGTTCTGTTCGTGTTGTGGTGACGGAGAGCTCACAAACAATGCACCGCAGGACCTTAGAACCGGAAGGAGTCTTCATCAAGGGCCAGTTCAACTTTCTCATTTTACAGCTGTGGAAACTGAGGCCCAGGGAGGGGGATGCTCTAGCCAAGGTCACACAGCAAGACAAAGGCAGAGCTCGGTTTGGAACCAGTATCTTGATGCATAACGCCGTGCCTGCCCTCCTCAGCAGGCTGCTTCCTGGGGCGCTGACACCCTTGGTGCCTGCACTGAGTCCGTCCACACTCATCTTTTGGGATGAAAACGCTGAGTCAGGTCCTAAGACTCAGGTCAGGCTGGTTTCTTTCATTCTGGAAACATGGGTCGAGCAGGTCCTGCCCCGTGCCAGGCCTTGGGAGTACAGAGAGGGGAAAGGACAGTCCCCGCCAGGACAGGCTTACCCAGGAGGCAAAGATGACTGCACTGCAGGGCCAGGAGAGCGGGAGCACCAGAGGCAGAGAAGGAGAAAATCCAGCCTTGATGAACCTACCCAGAATTTTGCAATCAGAAATTCTACAAAGAAGCTTTTAACATTGCGTACCCCTGTTAAGTTTTGTGTTTTCAGGTTAGGAGTGTTTTCATTTTGAATTTCATTTGGGCACAGGACGTTTTTCAAGGCCTGCTAGGGAAGATGGACCTGTCAGAGCCAATGACAAGACAGGTTATGCCATGTGTGCTGTAATGAACGAAAGGGAGGCTTTGAGAGCCCAGAGTGAGTGATTCCATTTGGAAGAGCGACCGTTGCTGTCAAGGTCTCCCAGAGGTGGAGATGTTGGGCGTCCCCGTGGGTGAAGGGGAGAGGGCACCGGGCCCAAGGCCAAGGCTGCCTTCCTCCCAGCTCTGCTGCCTCTGAGCTCCCCGCCCTGCCCCGTCTAAGGATGAGTTAGGTGTCCGTATCTGCCACCTGCAGCTTCGAATGGCAGGATGTGGAGATTCATGCCCCAGCGGGAAGAAGAAAGCCCCGCAGTCACGCCCTGCTAACTGGGCACATATTGGCCCCTCACGGTTCATGCTCCTTTGTGTCTCTTTGAACATGAAGGCGTCACACTGTGGAGCATTTCTCCCCGCCGGTCCTTGCTGGGCTGCTGTGTGCTGTCCGCAGAGAGGGTCGGGGAGGAGCAGAACCAACAAAACTGTCGACGGGGGATTTTTTAAACTTAGCTTTCATTTATTAATATAATAGTATGATCATAAAGGAAATTTGAATGTTTCATCTTTGGTACCGTAAGATAGCTATAGCTGTTTTATATCTGTGTAGATTTATCACTGAGGGTATGTTTTCTAACTACTGCTTTGGTTTTAGTATACGTTCACATCTTCATTGGACTCTAAAGATCTGCGCCTCAGTATGAATGTCTTGATCCTTTCCTGTATTTTTTAATTTTAAATTTTTTTTAAAGACAGGGTCTCATTTTGTCACTCAGGCTGGAGTGCAGTGGCACAATCATAGCTCACTGCAGCCTTGAACCCTTGGGCTTGAGCCATCCTCCTGCCTCAGCCTCCCGAGTATCTGGGACTATAGGCGCACACCGCTATGTCTGGCTATTTTAAAATTTTTTGTAGAGACAGAGTCTCTCTGTGTTGCCCAGGTTGGTCTCAAACTCTTGGCCTCATGCGATCCTCCTGCCTTGGCCTCCCAAAGCGCTGGGATTACAGGCCTGAGCCACCGAGCCTGGCCCGATCCTTTTCCTTAGGAAGGTATTGGAGGGAAGAGCTTGAGCCAGGAGTCCCCCATGGCCAGTTCAGCTGGGTTATGTCCCAGGGGCCTTCTGCTGCGATGAATAGCCAAGGCTGGATCTTCTCTTCTGTGTGCTTCTGTGAGTTGCTCGGGGGTGCTTGCTCTGGCCCTCCACCTGTGCTTCCTCTGTAGGGACATACCTTTTCTTTGGCCACTTCCAGCTATGCTCCCTTTTCTAGGGCCCCTTCACCCTCCCGGCCTGCAGTAAGACCCCTTTAAAGGACAACCCCAAGCTGGCTGACCTCCGCGGGGGCCACTTCTTTTTTTTTTTTAACACAAATTTTCCTTGCCCGGGCTAGAGTGAGTGCCGTGGCGTCAGCCTAGCTCACAGCAACCTCAAACTCCTGGGCTCAAGCGATCCTCCTGCCTCAGCCTCCCGAGTAGCTGGGACTATAGGCATGCGCCACCATGCCCGGCTAATTTTTTCTATATATTTTTAGTTGTCCAATTAATTTCCTTTCTAATTTTAGTAGAGACGGGGTCTCGCTCTTGCTCAGGCTGGTTTCGAACTCCTGAGCTCAAACAATCCGCCCGCCTCGGCCTCCCAGAGAGCTAGGATTACAGGCGTGAGCCACCGCGCCTGGCCTCGGGGGCCACTTCTAAGACAAAGAACATTGTGCCTTTTGCCCTGCCCTGTGCAGCCACTTTTCTCTTGGTTCTGTCACTGTCACCTTTAGACTTTCCAAGCACGAGGCAACTACCAGTCCTTTGACTCTCCAGTGCCAGGGGACACAGGTCATGCTCTCCACACAATTCCCTGAAAACCTTGTCACATTACTGACTCGTTGAACAAATATCGACTGAATGTCTTCCATGTGCCCAGGCCCTATTCTAGGAACTTGGGGAAGCTTCGGAGGACAAAAGTGATGGAAAGCCCTGCCCTGGCGGTGCGCATGTTCCAGCCAGAAAAGTCAGACAACGCACAATAAGCACAGTGCGCAATCGGTGGCAGCGTGTTAGCCAGCGACCAGTGCTCTGCGAAGGGAAGGAAAAGCAGGGCAGGAAAAGGGGCTCAGGGGGACAGAGGTGTGGTCAGGGAGGGCCACGGCTTTCCGTGGGAAGCTGATGTCTCCAGCAAGGACTTGAAGCCGGCAGCTGCCTGGGAACAGCCTGTGCTCAGAGGGGAGCTTCTGGAGCCTTGAGCAGTGAGCGGGGGTGGGTCTGGGGGACCCCAGGAGGGGGTGTCTTTAGACAGGTGCATGGAAAGTAGGTTTGGTTTTGTTTTTAATCAATGTGTCTGCCTTGAAGTGTTGGGAAAGAAAGACCAGGGCTTGGCCCTTGAACGTGCTCCTGAGCATCATTATGGCACAGCTCTCAGAGGCAGGGTGGCAATGACCCAGTGTGCAGGGCTTCAGCTTGTCACAGACATGCTCTGTGGCCCTGGACATGCCGCTTTCCCTCTCTGGGCCTCAGCTTCCCTGTCTGTAAAATGAAAGGCAACTCCAATGGGTCTTTGAGGACTGCGGGGGTCCGATTCTGGGGCTCTGTGGTCTGCCAGCCCCTCAGGAGCCCTTCTCCCCGCAGGAGGGGAACACAGCCCTTCACCTGGCTGCTGGCCGGGGCCACGTGGTGGTGCTGCAGCAGCTGGTGGACTTTGGGCTGGACCTGGAGGAGCGGAACGCGGTGAGTCACCGCCCGGGGATGCAGAGATGCGCGACTCTCTCACTCCCCGCCTCCGAGGAACCCCAGCCCCTGGTGCAATCCGAAGCCAGGAAGCCGAGGACATGTTCTAGGACCGACAGACCACCGGGAAAAGATGAGCACAGCACTGCAGGCTTAGTGGGGACGCTAGGCATGAGGGAGCACCAGGAAGGGGGACACAGAGTATGTGTTCAAAGAGGGGAGGAGTCGCCAGGGTCAGGACGGTCAGGGACAGCGTCCTGGAGTGGGAGGGAACAGACAGACAGGCTGATGGTGAGGGGGACGTGAGCAGAGATGGGGAGCAGGGAGTGCCTGTGCCCGTGTGTGCTCCACAAAGTGGGGACATCAGGTGTGGGCTCAGGAGACCACAGGTGAGCACCCTCGTCCTCAGTAGCAGGGCAGCGGAGAGTTCAAGGAGCCCCGGAGCCATGCGCACGGGGTGTCCTCTCACTGTGGGGCTGGGGTCACCTCGGTCAGCGCCCCCCCAAGCCCCACCATCCTCGTGCCTCTGCCCCTGTGTTTCAGGAAGGCCTGACCGCCCTGCATGCGGCTGCGGAAGGGATCCACCCCGGCTGCGTGCGGCTCCTGCTCGGCGCCGGGAGCAGCGTGAACGCCCTCACCCAGGTAGGGTGGCCTCACGCATCGGGGCTCCCGACACCGACGCCTGCCCTCGGCTGCCGGGCCATGGCCGTGCCCACAGCAGCGGCCACAGTCACTCCTGCCAGTGAGGCGGCAGGCCAGGTTCTGATCTTGGCTTCTCCGCTGCTGGCCTGTGGCCTTAGGCAAGTTACGTAGCCTCTCTGAGCCTCGTCTCCCCACTATACAATGGGATGATACACGCTTACTTCTTACCCTGCCTTGGGAATCGAATGCCTAGCACCGTGCCCAGGACACCACAGGGCCTCAACACCTGTTGGTGTCTTGTGGGCTCTTGATAATTCACAAGGCCACTTTATAACTATTTCCTCAGAAAAATGTCACCCATCTGACAGATGAGAAAACTGAAGCTTAGCGAGGACTTTCTCAGGGTCACAAGCCAGTAAGAAGCAAAGCTGCGTCTCAAAAGCCTATTCCCCTGACGCCAGAGCTCCCGCCCACTGACGGGAGCTGTCCCCTGACTTGGAGACCCAGCCCTGTGCAGCCACACTGGCACACAAGTTGGGGCCTGGGTGTGTGACAACCCTGGTGCACTTCCTCCCCATGGCACTCCTCAATTCTGCCGGTAGAAATTCTCTGTTACCTGGAAAGTGGGTGTAGTGGGGGTGGCCTTTCTTTAGGTAAAGAGTTGGTGTTTTTGTTTTGCTTTTTATTTTTTTCATTT